CAAAAAATTATGGTTTTTCTCTAGCAATGACTGTAGTCTAAGGAAAATGACAGACTAGATGGATGATATATATTGGAGGGAATGGAAAAGAGGAAAACAAATCCTATATATTAGTCAGCTAGGAACTGCAAACACAAGTTATTATAGTGTAAGTTAGCAGATTGCAGTTTAAAGAAGAGGCAGGTTCAGAGCACGTGGTAAGCACCAAAGGCTATTTTCAAGTTTCAGGAAGTCAGTCTTTTCCTTCAAAATACCTACTTTCCTGTAATAAACATTCACAGGCTCTTGGAGCTCCTTGACTTAGGATCGACAGTTGACTGGATGGCTCTTTATATATCTCAATCAGCTCTCCATTGCATTGATTAGATTGCATTGCACTTTTAATTAATGCATTAAGAACTTGGGTCTTCTTTTAGTTCTATTTTCCAATCAATTTTTAAAGCAGTAAAAGTGGCTCAAAGATGCCATGAAAAAATATGGCAATGATGTATAACCATAAAAACAACTTTGAAGCTCTTCAGCAGACAAGGGGATAGGTTTTTCTTTATCAAGTAAACCTCTGCTCATGTGTTATTTCAGTAGAAGTATTTCTTAGTGGAAAATCTTAGTACTAACTTAACATTTACCCATCCTTTCTTCTTTTGTTGTAAAGGTCAACTGAACGCATTGGAATCGGTAGTAAGAGAGGGAGCTGTGATGACATTCTCCTTTAGATACTGTCTGTAGTCTCCCTGTTCTCCATTTCTCATTAAGATAGCAGTGGTGTGAGTTGAGGTAACTTTCTGATGACATCAGCAAACACCTACACTTTTTACTTCTACAGTAGCAGACAATAATCTCCAGCCAAGGCTGAGGTGATACCACCAACCCTGTTGTTTATGTTCATCCTGAAGTGGGAGCCCCACCTTTTTAATTTGGACAATGTCTTTACTGCCTTACTGCTAGCCAATGAGTATCACAAATATCTATCATTTAGAACAGATTTTTTTTAACCTAATTTTTATGCAATTGTTTGTTTTTAACAAGACCATCTGAGGCTACTTCTGTACTTGATACATCAGAAGATATTTCTAAATTACAAACTCTCAAATTAATGATTAGATTAAGAAAATTACATTATATGATCACTGTACAGATTCTGTTTGCTAGTCTTGCACTTTTGCCACTGCATGTTTGTGTGCCAGTTTTTCAGTCTTAATGGAATGAAGATCTCACACTTAGCTTTCCCAAGGGGAAAAAAAGAAAAAGCAGGAAAATTCAAATGCCCATGTTCTGAAAGAAAAAAAAAGCAGCTTGAAAGAAACACTACAGGATTTGCTACTTTCATAACTTGAAAGTTTTGAAGAGTAGACATGACTTGTTTCACACAGACTACAAATAATTGTTCAATATCTTGGTGATTTTAATAAATAATCATGGTATCCACCTCACTTTTATAGTGCCACTTCCAGCATTACCATTTGCCCGATTTAAGATATCTTAAAAATAGATACCTTCAGGTCACTTCCTTTGGATTTTTCAGAGACAAAAAATTAATTTGACAACATTAGCATGTATATTTTGCCTACTTTCTAAGTCATTTTCTATGTAAATGATGAGTTGATAATTTCATTAAAAAATAAAATGTAACAGCTTATCCCTAGGACTAATATAATTAACTGAAATAAGCATAAAATTAAGAATGTATATGGATAATATGTATTACTCTTTAAAGGAAGGGACTGAAAGAAAACTAGAAGAGGGTTTGTGGAATGAAATGCCCAAAGACCACTAGATTAATTTAGTTGGTATAAAATGTGCCTTTAATAGTAACCTGGAGTTCAAGGTTTCTTATCAAATCTATTGAATTGTAGGTTGAGCGGTCTCAGCTACTGAGGGGCCCCAAGAGAGCTGAAGTTTCAGGGCAGTGTTTTATTAATTTTCTGGACTGCTCAGATCTTACATGTATTTTTGAAAATATTCATTAGAAGATACCTCACCAATAAAAGCTACTCTGAAGTGATTAGACAGACAATTTTTTCTTTGCCTGGGATCACTCATGGCCTGGCAGTTTATTCACAGGACATAAACAGTTATAAAATCAACAGAGGAAGAAGAGGGAAGCTGCCACTGGTTTATAGTTCAAGGACTTCTAAGAACTTGCTCAGGGCTCCACACAGGGAACAGAATTGCTCTGTTTCATTGTTCTATTAAACTACAGTAAGTATAGCAAAGGTAATCTTAAATATTTGTGATATATTTGTGATTTTGCTTATACTAAGCAGATGCAATGCTGTAACACAACAGAAAGCTCAGCAATGAGAGCAGAGTAGCAAAGCCCTAGGGTGCAACATGTGAGGACTTACTCAAATGCAACAGCCTCAGAGGGGGGGGGGGGGGGGAAAGCTGCTTACCTTCAGAACATGTCAGGAACATAGGAAACTCCAGCAAGATACCCTTGCTGCTGCTGCCAACCCTTAAGTGAGGTCTGGGAAGGGGTGGATCCTGACTCCACCCGTTTTGGTCACTCAGGTACACTGCATGCACCTGAGCTCCCCTGGGTTATTCCTGCCTTCCTACCAGGTACTCAATCATTCTTTCAAGCTGTGACTTAGCATTTCTGCTACAGAAGCGTAGTATCTAAATAAAAACGGTTTGGGTATATTTAGTATAGAAGACACTTGTGTAATAGCAGCAGTTAAGAAAGAGAGTAGGGTGGATAGTAGGAAAGTCAGTAGTTAAGACTTAAATAATGTTTCTGGACTGTTTCCGGAGAACGTATGTGCTTTTAATTCTCAAATAAGGGACAATTTTTTAAGTTTAATAGGGAGTTATGTTAATTATTTTTTAAAAAGATACCTTTTTCTGGTTGATTTAATAGGTATCAGTAAAGAAGGAATGGCTTTAAGTTGCACCAGGGAAGCTCAGGTTGGATATTTGAAAAAAATTATTCACAGAGAGCAGTGTGAGGTACTGGAACAGGCTGCTTGGGGAAGTGGTAAAGTCATTGTCCTTAGAGGTGTTCAAGAAGGGGTTATGTGCAGCACTGAGGGACATGGTTTAGTAGACAATATTGGTGGTAGGTGGACGGTTGGACTAGGTGATCTTAGAGATCTTTTCCAGCCCTGGTGATGCTATACTGAAACTCAGAATCATAGAAGCATGTAATAAGGATGCTTGCTGGAGGCACTGGCTCGTTTAAAAATTTATTTTTCAATTTATACTGCTTCAGTACTTTCAGCCCCTCCTGGATTTACATATTACATTAACACAAGGTTCTCTGGGCTTTTTACTTGAGAAAAATTTTCTCCATGTCTACATCACAATATATTTAATTTATGAACTTATGGTCACCTCCATTCTGGTGTTGTGTTACTCAGGCAATAATCTGCCAGTTATGTTATTTCAGTGATTTCAACGCACATCATACACACTGATGCCATGCTGTGAACACACTTCATAAATTAAGACTTGAAGTGGCACAGGGGCAAGTTTACCCATGATGTCATTTGCTTGGTAATTTGGATTTAGGAATAAGTAGTCTCATTTCTTCTTCCATTTTTCCACTGCAAATTCTTCAGAGATTTTTTTAACATACTCTTTCTCCCTCTAGGATTTGGGTTTGGAAAGGTCATTTGAAAGGAAATCATTATTTTAAAAGATCATTATTGTAGCATTTTGTGGTAGATTGTGTGCGTGCATGCATGCCATTTCTACAAGCTGCTCCAGACAGGTGAGGACTTTAGGAGGAAGACTGCTGAATAAATACAAATGAGTATAATATTATGTCCCAAATCTAGACTTAACAACTGCAGTATACAGTTGTACGTTCACAAGGTAAAGTAGGGAAGGCTGAGTGGCTTAGTTATGCATAAAACATGACTCTACCCACTCATTTCAGGCACCAAAACTCACTAACCCTTAAATAAATCAGTTTTCATAATTTTTCAGTTATAAAAGCAATTATTACAGTATGCCCCCAACTCTTGCAAAGTACGCAACAAATAATGCTCTTCTGTTAGTAGCGCTGCTGCTTAACAAGATTTGCCATTCTCCTTTCCAGCCACTTTTCTCTCACCATTGTGCTGCACACTGCATCAGTCTGGGCAACAGATCCCACTGCAGAATGACTTGGAAGAAAGAAAAGCACATTACTTTCAGCTGATGCACTGCATGACTACATAAAGAGACCTGTGTTGCAATGGGGAGTTTGGTGCAGAGAACAGGAAAAAACAGCAGAAACTATAGCAGCAACGTTGGCACCAAAGACATTCACAGGGAACCTCAATCTTTGGTTCCTATTTAGTTTTACTCTGAAACAATGTTATGATACTTCTGCAAGGAATTAGGACAGTGCTCAATTCCCATATTGCCTTGATCACGTGTCTTCTCTTCTTTTAAAAGACTTGTGCTCTTGATTCACATCTCACAGACAGTTAATAAGTGGGCACTAACCTACCTTCATGCCTCAACTTTCAGTACAATAAACTGCCATTAAGAACGAATTATGCTTGTTCATTCCATCACTCAGTTTTCATTTAAAAAGCATTAGTCAAATCAAATTATTTAATTTGTAGAGTGAGTTTTCTAATAATTCAGAAAAAAAGATACCAGAAAAATGTATTAACCAGAAAAATATAGATTTGTAAATATCAAGAATATTTCATAGAATATGCATTTACAGTTGCTATTAAAAAGGAAATACATGTTTAAAACACTTGTATCAGTAGTTTCCTGTAACTGGAATAGTTTAAGGCCATAAACAAAGCAGGGCTAGTGAATATAAATAATGTCTTTTCCAAGACCAACAGGAGAAAGTTGAAAAATAATCATAAATTTTAAAAATATCTGCATAAAGAAAGCAGTTGCTTTTAACATTTTTCCTGCCTTGAAATATGCTATTTCCATTTCAGGACTGGAAAATTTCTGTGCAAATGTGTTTCATTTGTTTTATTTTATCTTCTGGTGGTACACTCTAGTTTTCCTAATTTATTTGCATTTTTTCTTTGTAGGTCATTCTTATGCAAGAGGCTAAAAGGAATTAAATTTGCAGGATGAAAACATGGCACAGGCACTGCTGGTACCGCCAGGACCTGAAAGCTTCCGCTATTTTACTAGAGATTCTCTCGCAGCTATTGAAAAACGTTCTGCAGAAGAAAAAGCTAAAAAGCCCAAGCAAGAACATACTGATGATGATGATGAAAATGGTCCAAAACCGAACAGTGACTTGGAGGCAGGAAAGACACTGCCATTTATTTATGGTGACATACCTCCAGGAATGGTTTCTGAACCTTTGGAAGACCTGGACCCATATTATATCAATAAAAAAGTGAGTGAATATTCTTTTGCACAAAATAGAATATCATTTTCTGCACTTGAAATATTTTTTTTTTATCAGAAAATATGATGGTTAGAGTCACCCAGCCACTAAATACATAGAAATATCTTTTCATCCAAGAGAACTGATTTATGTTCTTCTACACTGTGACTTCTTCAGCATGTATTGAATTACTTGCTATTTACCTTAGTTTAAGGGAGTTATAACTTCCTTGAACTTTCTTGAAGTTGAGCACATGGCTGAATTTTCCTGATTGCAGTGCAGCAGTAAGACTGGGTATGAGATACAAAATATTCCGAGCGTGATTTTGCAGTGGAGATTATTGTATATAACCAGATAGCATCAGATCACCCAGTTCAGTGAAATAAAAGACTGTAGCCATATTTCTTTCTTCTGCTATAGCTATATTTTATATTCTAACACAAATATTCATAAATGGCACAGGGTCTTTTTTAAATCTTGGATCTTACAAAACAGACTAGTTGTAAAACAACTCTGGAATGAAGTTTCATAAATTAGTTCAGGTATAAGGTTTTTTGAACAAGTCTACAAATGAAGTGTCAGAAAACTGAGTATTGAAGTATAATTTCTGATATCCAATCAGAAAAAGTAGTCATAGCTTGAGAAACTCAGACTACTGATGAACTCATCAGGCTACTGAAAATAATTAGTGAACTGCAGAATTTTTTATCACAGGTGACATCTGCATTTATGTTAAATACTAGCCTAATGTTCTCAACAGAAAACAAATGGACATCTGAAATGATGAACTGGAATTTATCATCCCTCCTTCCACTTGTAGCATAAATTACTCTTAATCACTGCCTTGTCCCTGCAGAGAAAATCTGGGGAGGACTGGGAGGCTGCCTTCAGGGTGATCTTGGGACAGGCAGAATTGTTCTACTATTTCTAACTGGGTGCAAGACTGACAAGCAGAGAGAAATGCCAGTAGGTGTAAGGGCACTGTCGTCCCAGGCCATGCACAAGATCACTGTGCACAAGATCACTACCTGTAGGCTTTCCCAGCAGAATGAGGTCATCTCTCCCTGAGGGAGCAGTCCAGGTAGGCAGCAAAGGCCATGGGAAGGACAGCACTTTTCTGAACAGAGGCAGGAGAATAGAAATCAGCATGGAAATCAGTGATACCATATAGCTCAGCTGAGAGCGTAACAAAGACTCTATTATGGTAGCACAAAGCAGAATCATTACCACTGACAAAGAGCAAAAGAAATGAAGAATAGTCATGTCCTGACGAAATTTCAAACAGTACTAAAAATGCAAGTATATCTCAAGCACAAATAAACTTGGTATAAAAATTAAAACACTTTGGCAATGACTGTCAACAGGAACAAAATGAAAGTGAATGCTCATGATATGTTTATCCAGTTATATTTGAAAAGCTAATAACTACCTAGATTTGGTGCCCACAGATATAGAAAATGAGAACATATTATTAAAAATGAACACATCATGGTTTTTTTATTTGCTTGTATTGGTTCTGGTTATGCTGGTCACTGGCTGCTTAGAATGATGTCAGCTGGCAATTTATTCATTCCTTTAATTTTTTTCAGATACTCTTTTAGAAGATACATATAATCGATAATGGCAATGTTTAAATTCTCAAATGAATCTGAAATTATTTTAAAATTATGCTACATTGTTTAGTGACCAGGTGTTTGTCCTTGCAATGACATAAACATCTATATAATTAGAACAAATACTTGTTCTAAACACAAACTGGCTCTATTATCACCTTTATTTTTTTTCTTTTGTTTGTGTTTAATGACGTGGTAGAAGTATTAATTTGAAAATCCGACTTTTATGAAGTCTTGAAAATATTTTTTACTGATGAAATGCCGTATTTTGCTATTACTGATAAACTGAAATTTTTGCTGATAATTCCCACCAACGCTAATAGTATCTGAATTCAGTCTGTGTGTTAGGAAAGTCAGCGAACTGGAGAATCATTAATGGAAGGTTTAATCCATTGTATGTATAGAAATCAGTTGTTTTCCGACCACAGGTAGAAAGTAGAATGAAATTGGAACTACCAGACGGAAAATGGAATACTTAATAAGGAGATGAAGACGCGTGTATAGGCAGTGCTGCATTTTAATTGTATAATTTTTGTTTTGCAGACTTTCATAGTATTGAATAAGGGAAAGGCAATTTTCCGATTCAGTGCCACATCTGCCTTGTATATTTTAACTCCTTTTAATCCCATCAGAAAAATTGCTATCAAGATTTTGGTACATTCATATCCTTTTATTCTTGATGTTGATTTAAACCTTGTCCTTTAAAACTGAAAAGATTACTGAAATAATACTTTTTGTATGAATTTACAAATGATGTCCATGTGTGTGTACTATGTATGCTAACTAAACATACACTGATCAGTCCTAAAAAGCAGCCATGTCACATCTTAATTGCAGTATGGTCTTTATTTCTAACAGGAGAATTCTCTGCAGAACCACTTAAAGCTGAAAGAGTTTAAATATCAGGCTTTATATACAAAGAGAGACTTGATACCATGCAAAGCCCTGCAGCTAAGGCCAAATTAGTAACAAGCCATTGCACTTCAATGTATCTAAGGTCACTCTTTTACTAAGACCAGTAGTACTATTCATATACTTGACTCACTTAGCAAGGACAAAAGAGCATGAGTAAAGAGCTGTTTTTTTCAGGCATACTTTTTCAGTATTGTGTTTTCAGCACTGGGTTTGATGTTCTATTAAAAAAACAGGTCAAAATAGAGAATATTTTCCAATATATTTCAATCACATCCAAATAAAAACTTGGGTGTGTGCAAACAATCTCTGCATGCAGATGTTTTAGAATGAACCTCCTGGCTTTAATGAGAAATTACACTTGGGTACCGATTTCATTTTTTACACATTTAAGTATGTACTCAGGTTTAATTTAAATCCCAAGCCTGCCAAAATTATAAAAGCAATGCAATGTTTTACAGTTACTACACCATAACATGCCAGATGGCATACTGTTTTAAATAGACAGAATTATGTACAAAGCTTTATTTTCAGATTTTATTTAGAATTTCATGTTATTTGTACATATTTTCATGCACTTAATATTTTAATGCTTTCAGTGTTGTAAAATGGTCATGTTTTTCTGACTTACCTCCCTTGACTATAATCTACATTATTCAGCATGCTTATCATGTGCACTATTTTGACCAACTGTGTATTTATGACCATGAGTAACCCTCCTGACTGGACAAAGAATGTAGAGTAAGTTAACATTTTTACTTCTTCATTTTTACCTCTTTTATTTTGTGTGGTTCTAAACAATAAATATTTGTGGAAAGTTGCGTAGCAGAATGTGCTTTTCCAGAGTCATGAAGAACCAGATTGCAGAGGTCGTTAATATCTTTCTGTTTTTCTCCTGAATAATTTCAGTATTTTAGAAAGAATGGCTTGTTCTTTAAAATGGTGTTTGAAGAATGTTTGAGTTTGTACTGTGAAGTCCTAAAAGGAGGTCTTGGCTTTGGGGTTCTGAGATGCAAATTGGAAAAGGAGCTGTGAAATTACTGCATGTCACTGGGGAGTCCAGCATCATATTCCTTGAGCATTCATGTTCTTTGCACAGTGGGACATTCTTTGGGTGTCACTAAATTGAGATCACAAGCACCAGGCACAGAGGGCAGACTCTGTCACAAACACAAAACCCACCCAAACCACAAGTTTAAAGGAGTGAGGAAGGGGCCTTATTACAGTAACAGAGAGCTGATGGAAGGAAACCGTGAAGTATCTTTTTCTTTTCTGTGGTTATACCTGCATTCACTATCAAAATACAGATGTATGTTATCCTTTGAAATATTATGCTCTTCTATGAAATATTACTGATAAAAAGCTGGTTTTGACTGCTTGTGGTTTATTTCATTCCCTCCACTTCTTCAATAGCCATTACCGATTTCTATTTATTTCACTGCATGCTCTGAATGCTATGTACAGAAACTGTAATAATGTACACCTGTTCCCCAGTCTACCCAGCAGTGGCTGTGAGGTTTGATGAGAGGTTGAAAGGTGAACAGTAGGATCTGTAGGTTGATTTCCTTTCTTCTGTAAGTCCACATAGACCCACGTGTGTCTCAGGGAGTCCTTGCCTTACTCTGGTTATAATTGACAATTCTCTGTTTACAAATGAATGGTTCTCACACCAGGTAAATTGGTAATCATGCTCCCCATGTTCAAGAACAACAGCCTGGGCAAGCATTCTTATATTTAATGTTTTAAACCTGTATTATGTGCATGAATATACTTATTATCCAGAACTGATTTTCAGAAAACTTCGATTTTGACCTAAAAAAAAAATGCATTTTTGTAACACTTAGACATCTACCTGATTTGAGAATACAACAAAATAGGCAGCCTTGTGGGTGCTACTTAATGTACATATAAATATCAAGTCTGAAATGTATCTGTAGATACTGGAGTCTCAAATTAACTGCAAGCACAAATAAGGAGATTAAATCAAGCTTTTAGAAAATGATTAGTATATATGCCTCTTGAGTTTAAATTTCATCTACTGAACAATGATTAAGTTAATTAACAGTCAAGTTAATGATTTGTTCCTTTCCCTTCTAAATACTTTTGAGTATTGTACACCTTTGATAATGAATGCCATTGTCTACAAGCATAAGTATGCAAAGATTTGTCATACCTGCTTTGATGCATTTCAGGTACACTTTTACTGGAATTTATACCTTTGAATCACTGATAAAAATTCTTGCAAGGGGCTTCTGCTTAGAAGGTTTTACTTTTCTGCGAGACCCATGGAACTGGCTTGACTTCAGTGTCATTCTAATGGCGTAAGTGGTTCAAGAATTTCTTAAGCTTTTAGGGCATGAAATTAGTGGCAAATGCTATTATTATCATGAATATATTCATTTAAAAATATTTAATTTCTGCAACCTGTGAAGTTTAGATGCTGTGTCACACATTGTAGTACACATAAATCAAAGCTAAATATGGCAGGAAAAGCACAGAATGTCAGCCACCAGTGTAATTTCTACTGAGGGACACTAATTTCATGTCCTATACTTTTCTGCTCACCAGAATAGAAGCCATCTCTTTGACGTATGTCACTGTCCTATTACAAGCTAATTAGTTTAATTAGTTGTTCAAATATAAATCAGTGAGTTACATGTCAATGAAATTTAAGCATAACTCATGAAAATATGTATAGCAAGGTGTACTGAAGAGACAGGTAAATTTTCAACTATGATTGTTAATATTGACTCAGAGGTTTTGAAGACCCTCATAATTAGTGTAAGCTCTGCCTCAATTCTGAATAACTGTGATTTAATCCTACAGGTATGTAACAGAATTTGTAAACCTAGGCAATGTTTCAGCTCTTCGAACTTTCAGAGTATTGAGAGCTTTGAAAACTATTTCTGTAATCCCAGGTAAGAAGTAACTGTGTAAGGTGTTAGGCCCCTTGTAACTCCAATTGTTATTTGTGTGCTGTCATTGTGTTTGTGTGTGAACTCCCCTATTACAGATATGTGACAGAGTTTGTGGACCTGGGCAATGTCTCAGCGCTGAGAACATTCAGAGTTCTCCGAGCTTTGAAAACAATATCAGTCATTCCAGGTGAGAGCTAGGTTAAACACTGAGGCTGACTGTTGTTCCATTGAAGTTGAATTCACTTCTTTTGAGCACAAGCCTTGATATTTGCTGCTCATGTTGCAAAAAAGAAAGAAAAAAAAAAAAAAAGGAAAAAGAAAAAAAGGCATGGATCATAAGCCAGGATTATGATTCTTTACCTTTTTAGCATTAGCTTCTTTTATTTTGCAAAATCAGCCTTTGTGTTTAACAGATTCTTGCATGAATCAAGAAATGTGAGGCCTATGGATTATTTTGCTTTATTTTTTCCATGTTTATTATGACAAATTGTCTCTTTAACATTAAAAATGCTTTAGTGCTTTGGCTTTTTGGATTTTGATTTTTTTCCTTTTTTTTACCACTTAAAATTGAAATGTGCCTTGAAGACAACCAACTAACAACAACAACAAAGCTACAAAACTGGAGATAAGTATTGCACAGAAAAATTTATCAACTAAAACTATTTTTTTTTCCTCAAAATTACTTGCAATTCTATCTCAGTTTGTACTGTTATGGAGTCACTGGAAAGTGATTTATTGCCAGAATATTAAATATTAACTATAATATAAATTGTTATTATTATTAAATATTAAATGTTGTAATAAATAATATTATGGAATATAAAATAGAATATTAAATGGAGAGAAAAATTAAAGAGATCAAATCTATAACAGAAAAGCATGGTTGATAAATTTCCTGCTTGAGAATTATATGATATTTTTGTGTATTTGAATGTATCTACATTGCTTATTCATAAAAAAAAATATATATTTTTCTTTCATTCATCTTCACAAGCTCTGAGGCTGTTCATGAAACTTTATTTTTTGACAAATAAAAGTAGTTTCTTTTTACTGTCTGCATGACAACTGAGTTATATGGGAAGGGCAAAGATCCTCTTTGATAAACCCATGAACTTTTTCTCTTTTCAGGCCTAAAGACTATTGTAGGAGCCCTAATTCAGTCCGTGAAGAAGCTCTCGGATGTTATGATCCTGACTGTCTTTTGTCTGAGTGTATTTGCACTAATAGGGCTGCAGCTGTTCATGGGCAACTTGAGGAATAAATGTCTGCAGTGGCCTCCAGACAATTCTACTTTTGAAATAAATGTTATTTCCTACTTTAATAGCACAATGGATGAAAATGGTACATTTATTAATACAACTGTGAGCACATTTAACTGGAAGGATTACATTGAGGATGAAAGTAAGAATGACTGATGTAACTTTTTTATATACTTGTGGTTATTGTACATAAATATTTGCAGTTTAAAAAATGGCTTATGTTTCTGCCTTATGCACAGTTGTTTACAGTGACTGACCTACAGTGATCACATACAATAAACAAGTTCAATAACCAGAAGCATTCCTAAACACAGTACAAAGTGATTAGAAACTAACCACTGTGAATTTATTATTATTTTATTTTTATTTTATTTTGTAGTGCTTTAAAGATGAACTTAATCTAATCGCATACTTTTCTAATGCTTTCTACACAGCTCATTTCTACATTTTGGAAGGACAAAGAGATGCCCTACTTTGTGGTAATAGCTCTGATGCAGGGTAAGACCCTTTCAAAAATCATCTGTTTTATTCTTCAGAAAAATCAGTAACAAAGAGCCTATTCATAGCAGTTGCAACTTCCCATTTAGAAGTGATACTGAACAATGATTTCTTACTTAGGTCAAAATGTTCATTAACAGCCATTGTTCTTGCTTTATTAGAAATTGATCTTGATAACATCTGAACCCCTCAAAGTCTACTCTGGAGATTAACTGGTTGAAAAGAGTAGGGTGAAAACTAAGGTTAGAACTGAGAAAGAGAATGCATAAAATAGTAAGAAAGTACAATGGCTACCTCATATTCCAAGGCTTTTCATCACTGGCAAAATGTGCCATACACACATGTCCAATTGTTAGGCTTAAAGTGTTAACTGATACCTAACTGGCTTCTGTGACTAAGCTAAAAAAAATTTCAGATTTTGTGTAGGAGATCCCTTACTGGACAATTGGATTTAGCTAATCAGATTATTTAATCTGTCTGTACCCTTAGCAACATTTTAGCAATTATCTTTGCCAGGAAATTAATCATTCAGAATAGAGATTCTATTTTCAAAATATGACTGAGGAGAATTTAAACATTCAGGTCAGTTCAAATAGCAAATGTTTGAAAAAGATATCTTTTGTTTACTTTTATATTTGTTTGTTTCTCAGAACACATTTCATAAATTAACTTACTTCTAATTTTGAAATTCATGGATTTTCTGTGCAAAAATTAAAAAATGCAGTCCCAATCCATTATTCACGTGTAGGTCGCTCTGAAAGTAATGCCTCCTATTTATTTCCATGGAAATTACAACAAATATAAAAAGCACAATAACACTGTTTGATAGAAGTAATTCTCAGCTACAAAACTCTATTTTTCAATGTAGTCATTATCATTAATTGTGCGTTTTTGCCAGTAATAAATGTGAACCTGCATGCCATGCACTTAAAAATCTGCACCAGTGGAGGTGACCCACTGTTGCTGTCGCTACTGCTGAAACACACCACCCACCATCTCACTATGCTCACATCCACTGCTGGGTCTACATAAACGTTCACTAAGTGTTGATGAATGTCAATGGGTGCCATTTTTTCCATATGGAAAAATTCAGTGACACTGCTTTGCTTCATATACACTTCCAAGTCAGACTCTACTTTGTCAGCTTGCCTCTCTGCTGCCATCTGTCACACAGCACAAAATGTAATGGAGTATTGGTAGGAAGGCTCAACTTCTGCTGCCAGACCAAAATTGCCCTCTAACACCATGGGCCTACACAATAGAATAGGCATTATTTCTGGAGCTATATAGAATTATACTATGTATCCTACTGAGGAAAATAAAAGTTATGAATAAATACTTCCTGTTTGATTTTCACATAGGCAGTGTCCAGAGGGATATATATGTGTGAAAGCTGGTAGAAATCCCAACTATGGTTACACAAGTTTTGACACTTTCAGTTGGGCTTTTCTGTCACTCTTTCGGCTAATGACTCAGGACTTCTGGGAAAACCTGTATCAACTGGTAAGCAAATTTTGTGACATAAAATCTAGGCTAAGTTGAAATGTTCAGCTAACAGCAAAGCATTATGGTGTTGAAATAACACCATGGAGGTGGACTAATACTCGTAAGAGGTGGACTAATATGCAGATATGCTTTCTACTTCCTAGACACTACGTGCTGCTGGGAAAACATACATGATATTTTTTGTTCTGGTGATTTTTCTGGGCTCATTCTATCTGATCAACTTGATCCTGGCTGTGGTTGCCATGGCCTATGAGGAGCAGAACCAAGCAACTATGGAAGAAGCAGAGCAGAAAGAGGCAGAATTTCAACAGATGCTGGAACAGCTAAAGAAGCAGCAAGAAGAAGCACAGGTAATGATGAATATTTTACTTTCTAAGCAGGCTTACTCTAAGGAATGGATAGTAAAATTTTAGGAATTAGAAGAAATACCTTGTTTGCCATGCAAGTTTCATAAGTTGAAATAGCCAATGAAAAATCAGGAATTAACCAAATGGCAAATAAAGGCAAGTAATGATACAGAAAAAGAAGTTCTCAAATAAATAAATAAATAAAAAGCAAAAGTAAAATATTTGAGATAACAATGTCCTACTAACCTGAATAAGTAGTCAGAGTTCATAACATTTTTAAGTTACAGATCTTATGAACAGTGGGAAAAAAAATGTAGTATTTCTCATCTGTGATCTGAATGAGAATTTCCAGGCTCGGTTTAGTTAATAGTTCCACTCTAATACTCATAAAACAGAGAGATGGATTGTAGACAGTGTTCTCTTAGGTTCCAATCCAGTAAAGTCTTTTAGTAGATCCCTAATTCAAGCACACTGAAGTTAATCAGAAGTTTACATAACCTTAGAATAGACCAGTGGTATTTATAATAAAGGTATTACTTCTATTAAATAAGTCTTTATTTTCTTTGAAAAGAGAATTATTTCACACATTCATGAAAATAATAAATTCTGATGGAAACTTTTGTGTTAAGTTGTAGTTAGTTATCTTAAAGTAAAGTACGCAGGAATTAAGTTCTGTAAGTCAGACATCTGCCTAATTTCTGGCCTGATTTTCAATTGCTTTTTCTCCAGTAATCATTTTTAACTGGACAGTGCTTATAAAAAGCTACCAATTAGAATTCAATGAATCTACAGTTTTGGTAGCATTTTCATGCAGCTCTTACACTAGATTAGAATGATTCTGTAACGAGAGTGCTAATAGAAAAAGAAACTCTGAATCTTTTACTTAAGAAGTAAGTTTTGTACATCACCTGTGAAATCTGATAAGCATATGTCTATTTTAGTCAAATCCTATCACTTCCAAATCTCCAAGAAAAAAGAATAATCCTGCAAAATGTTAATTAACAAAAAAGACATCAGTAAAGAGCACATTTCTTAAAAAATATGATACTTTCATCCCTGAAAGTCACTAAGCCACTTTTAATTACATCAAGAGCTATCTAAATGTTTGTGTGATTCATTGTGGAGACAAAGAAGATGACCCAGACTTAAAAAGAGAAGAACTGGAAGAAACAGACTTTGAGAAAGGCTGGATAAAGGCCAACTTCTTGTTACTTCTTTAGATGAATGACTACTCAATTAATTAGAAGTAAAGCAGTATTACAGTCAAGATCTCTTTTATGTGTGAAGACGTTAGTGGAAAGTGCTAATTTCAAGGTGGATCACTGAGCTGCTGAATTGTTTCATGAAGCAGTAGCCTATCTGTTCACTCCTTTGACATGGGATCTATTCATCCACAAATCTAAGTTACACTGTGCTTTAGTTTACAACATTATTTTGAAATTTGCTGTCAGTACTAAGTAGATATGCAATGACTCAGAATCTGGTCCCTTATCTATGCTAGAGCATCAGAAGGACAATATTCTGAAACCAGTATGACATAATTTTGAGTTTCTCTTTTAATTGATATACACTTCATAATCCTCTTAATATCTTATACTCTGATTGGCAGAAAAGTTCTGTATCAAGTCAACTTGTATAGCATAGGTTGCTTATTGTGATACAGAAAGTCATTAATTCGTACTGTGAATGAACTAATTTTGGGCTATCTTTTTCAGCTATAAAGACAAATCCAATCCTTTTTAAAATACTTGACATCAAGTATAACACCTTTTGCTGGATAATTACAAGTCATCTTCGCTATGTAGTGCTAGTCTCTTGCCATTTCTCACACCATCCTTTTCTGGAAGCTCACTGGAGCCTACCGGCTTTCCAAATATACTTTACACAGCAGGATTTCACAGCTAGTCCCCCAGACATTTCTTTATAGGAAGAGTATTGGTTATGCTCTCATTTCTTTCTTTTTTTCATGACTACACATCAATTTTTCCAGTGAACCAAATCAGACAGACTGACCACTGCAGTTGTTGACAGGGGTTCTGAGTTTTGGGACTGTTCTTTGCTCCATCTCATCCCTTTTAATCACAGAAGAAACCTAACCTTTTTCTGCTCCCTAGCAGCAGTAGCAACAGGAATTAAATGTACCTCTGTGTATTTATAACAAAGCCCTAGAGTGCTGCTACAGTGGGAATGTGGGAAAAGAAACGTGAAGACGAATATGGTGCTCAAAGACATATTAAGGTCTTTAAGCAAGGTGTCTGCTCCTAGTAAAGGCAGAAATCAAGAGGCTGTCCTTGCCCTTGCCACCAAGGAAAGGCTGGATTCAATTACCTGATACTTGGATTATGATACGTTAACTCACATGGCGGATGTCAAGGATTAGCTTTCTCTGTAAAGACTTAGAGGAGATCAGCTGAATTAGAACATAACCATGACCTTATTGCTCTCTACAACTACCAGAAGGGAGGTTGTAGGGAGGTGGGAGCCAGCCTCTTCTCCCATTGAGCTAGCCATAGAACTAGAGAGAATGGCCTCAAGTTGTGCCAGGGGAGATTCAGGTTGGATGTTAGGAATTACTTCTTTGCTGAGAAAGTGGTCAGGCACTGGAATGGGCTGCCCAGGGAGGTGGTGGGGTCACTGTCCCTGGAGGTGTTCAAGAAACATCTAGATGTTGTACTGAGGAACATGGTTTAGTGGGAAATATGATGATAGGTGGATGGCTGGACTGGATTATGTTAGATGTCTTTTCTAAGCTTGGTGATTCTGTGATTCTATAATGTGAGGCAAGAGGAAATCTGGAAAAAGGTCTGAAGTAGACGAAAATGCCTCATGCTTACACTTTCCTGACTACCTTCATTTTAGACCAATGTCTTGTAAAGTCTTTAAAGAATAACGACACTCTTGTACTGATAAATCTGATGTGTTTAAGTAAACCACAGTGCTAAATGACGAGGAGCTGTAGATCTCAGTAGTTCATTTTGACTGTGTACAGCACTACCAGAGGGATAATAAAAGCAATTGATAAAAAACAATAAAATTGTTCATTTTTGGTTCAATAAGAATACTATGTTTTGTAACCCGTCAGGCTACGGCAGCAGTGGCAGCAGCATCAGTTGCATCAAGAGATTTCAGTGGGGTAGGGGGATTAGGAGAACTCTTGGAAAGTTCTTCAGAAGCATCAAAGTTGAGCTCAAAGAGTGCTAAAGAAAGAAGAAACAGAAGGAAGAGAAGACGACAAAAAGAAATGTCGGAAGCAGAGGACAAGGGAGATATTGACAAGTTTCCCAAATCTGAGTCAGAAGATAGCATCAGAAGAAAAAGTTTCCGCTTCTCCACAGAAGGAAGTCAACTGACATATGAAAAAAGGTTCACATCTCCCCATCAGGTACAGCAAGTTTTTTTTTATTCTATCATGTACATCTGTTCTAGTTTGGCTTTTATTTTGAACTTTACATATTGAAAGTTACGTAAAAGGTGAGCAAACAAATAAACAGTGCTTATAGTTTTAACAGTGTTAAAGTTTGACCCATTCAATTAGTGAAGGGATAAAAAGATCATGCCAAGGAGAACTGTTTATGTTAACTATTAATGTCTTAACTGTTAGTTAAAACATTTCTGAAAACTTATTTCTGAAGATGTATTTGGTAGATTAGAGAGCAATCAAAGACATTGAGTAGTATTCATATATTTGTATTGTGGTTCCTCAATTGCAGTCTCTGTTGTGCATCCATTTCAAAACCTTACAAATATGTAAGTTCTTTAGGAGACCATACCATCAAAATGCTCTGAATAGAAAATTCTACCATTAGTTTCTATTGCCTTTCATTATCTTCTTTAAACAATAGATAAAGAGAAGGGTAGTTCTAGTTTTCCATAGTAAAGACAAAATATATAGGGATTGCTTAGGCTTGTATTTAAATAATTTAGTCATACTGTTCTTTCCCAATAGAAGCTCATTATGCAAGATGGAGAATCTTACAGAAAAGAATAGTGAGTGACTTGACTGCACTCAAGAAAAGAGTCACTGACATAGTCTGAGATGAAAGGAATTTCTGGTTGCTGGTCTTGTGCTTTAACTACTCAGCAATAGGCTTCTCCATTGTTTAGTCTATATTTTATATAATTCTGGTGAAGGATAAGATTAAATAATATATTATATTTATGTTAAATATATTTATTTTTGCATGCACAGATGCAGAATTAAATTATCAATAGAAAAAATATCTAGTCTGGGAACACGTATAAGAAGAAGAGGAGAATTTGAGACAAAATTTGAATAGGGAATATAAATTTTATGTAGCTTTATTAACATACAGTAAGGTATTGTTGCATGTATTTATTCATACTCTGAAACTGTCAGAAAGCTTTCATTCTATCAGCTGTCATGAAAAAGTATGAAACGTTCATCTAAATTGAACAAGTTTAGGAAGGTAAGGCATGTAAAATGACTTTCAATAACAATAAAATCATATGTGAATTCATGCTGCAGACTGAATAAAAGTCCATGGAGACCAACTGAAAAAAAAATTGTATGTTTCAGATTTGAAATAAAGCAAAGAAATAGTAAAATAGACTGGAAATAGCTCATCTTGGGAGATCATGAATTGTAGAGCAGGAAGGAAGGAAGTGACCACCTGAAATAAATTTTAAAGGGCATTTAAGATTTTAAAATACAAAGAGATTTCCATCAAGCAAATAATCAAATTGAAGATAATTAATTGAATTAAAAATTGCCTTAGTAATTGTATAGGTACAAAAAAACTCTGGGACAAATACTGCCTGCACATAAACAAAGTAAGACTGAGCTATCATGTAAACTGAAAAAAGAAGGTCTGGTTATTCATGCAGTAAGCTCCTGAGTGAAATAGGGTGACTGAGCATGAAACAACACAGTAGAATAGTAATGGGAGATAATCTGCCCAGCCAGCCCCTATAGAGGTTTTGTCCTTTGACACAGTATTCTGTTTGCAAATGAATGATGCACCCTCCATGAAAAGCTAGGCTTTCCTTTCACATCTTACTTGCCAGCAGCATGAAGGCAAATATATTTCTGCCTCTACATGTGTTAGAATTGCTGTCATTTTGGCTTATAGCTTTTGTCCAAACCTAGTAGGGATATTCAAAGCAGGCATACTGCTCCTAAGTCCCTGAGGGGCCTGATCCATTTAGCTGTGCTCAGAGCTTGATAGCACATATTGGAAAGACTGGACAACACATAAAACAGCAGCAAGGGGAGCTTTCTCTATAAAGCAAGGATAGCAGTGCTAGTCAGCTGAATCCTAGTAGGCGTGCAATTATTTGAAGGACTGTAGTTGGGCTAAATAATAGTATGACAAAATTGCAAGAGTTGCAGTAATTTTTTTACCATTTTGTCAGGTTTCACTGACATTTCCCATAGATGCTAGAGTTATTTATATGGGAAAAAAAAAAAAAAAAAAAAGAAAAACAGCACTTTTTTTCCAGTCAACTTTACATATTGATAGCAAAACCATTTGGCTGATATTCTTTAAGTAACTCAGCCTGAGGCTGACAGCCAGCATAAAAAATTTCATCCCAATTTATTAAGATTTAGTATAGCTATAAGAGCAGAAAACTACATATTATAATGGGAAACACCGGCAAACCATTATAAGGCAGCATTACTAGTTCAGCACACATATAATGTGTGTATATATGTAGTGGTCTGAATATTTGGTTCTCAACATTAATATAGATTTTTATATACTTTAATTATAATTATTCTGAGATAAAGGCATTGCTCTTGCATGTAAGCACTTTCCACCTGCAAACAAATTGAGAATCATCAGAAACCAGTTTTACCATAAAAAAAGATATGAAGATTTGCACAAAGACAAGGATGAAGAAAGCTTAATGCAAGGTGTCTTTTTTCCACTGTTAGCACTCATTTTATTTATTCATGAATGCTGTTAATAAAATATGTAGCATGGGAGAAGAGCATTCCATTAAGCTTCTACTGTAATTAAAAGATTAATTGCCAACAACCGCTGATTTATTTTTCTCATCTGTAAGAGGATATCTTTGGGTAGCTGTGTCCCTGGTGAATGTTTGCTGTGCGTTGCCTGATGGACACATGGTAGGTAGGTGTTCAGCCTACTGCAGCACTACTGCAGAACTGAGTGCTGTGTTCAAAGAGTGCTACTAGGCATATTCACTCTGTCCCTCCAGAGCTTCTCCAAGACCCTGTCTTCTAGTTTTAGAGTACTGCTTATATTGTTTCATCATTATTGAGACTACTGTCAGGAGGACAACAAGTTCTGATAAGTTGGAATCCCTAGGAGTCCAAGGGATGAAGAAGGGAAGAAAACTAAAAAGACTTTCAGTTCTGCTGTAAGTAGAAGATACAATAAGATATAAATCTGCAAAGCCTTGATAGAACACTCTCCACTACACTCATGAGTCCATACAAACTCAAAATGCATTTTTTGCTCAAACTGCCCAACCTTGCTATGTCTCCTACACAACTTTTCTTCAGTCCTGCTACGTTAGAATTCCGTATCTACTTTCAGTCCCATGAATGAGCACATTCCCCACATAGTCACTGGTACCATTGAAGAAAAAATTGAAAATTCTTTGAAAAGCCAAGAACTTCTATATCTTGGAACATCAGTTATAGAGCTGTCTTTTTTGTTTTCTATTTAAATCTTTTGCAGTCTTTGCTAAGCATCCGTGGTTCCCTGTTCTCACCAAGGCGCAACAGCAAAACAAGCATTTTCAGTTTCAGAGGTCGCACGAGGGATATAGGATCTGAAAATGACTTTGCTGATGATGAGCACAGCACTCTTGAGGACAATGAAAGCAGAAGAGACTCTCTCTTTGTTCCCAATCGACATGGAGAAAGGCGTAACAGTAACATCAGTCAGGCCAGTATGTCATCCAGAATGGTACCAGCCCTTCCGGCCAATGGGAAGATGCACAGCGCTGTAGACTGCAATGGAGTAGTCTCCTTAGTTGGAGGACCTTCAACTCTAACTTCACCTACTGGACAGCTTCTACCAGAGGTAATTATAAGTGAACAAGCAGTTCCTGCAGTTTTCTTCAGGCACAGAATTTTTTCTTACTGTTCACTTCTGCCTGCCTTACCATTTCTTACAGCTGTGAGAAATAACTTGCAATAGTTTCTAAACTACAGGAGATAAGCGAAAAGAAGTCCTCAAGCTTGTATGTCTGAGCCTTACAATAGTATTATATTCTCCTTGCCTTCAGCAAGAGATCTGCACAGAGAAAAACAATATGTATATATAAACCAAATCTGCCATTTTGTACAGTTTTGCCTCAAAAAACAAAGCTAGGCATTTGATATAAAACTAAGGATATAGGAATAGGAAACTACCTGCAAACTGTGAAGGAAAGCAGTTACTATTCCCGTGATAGTTTTCTATTACCATACATTTCAGTTGATTTCCATAAGCTGTTTCTTCAAACTTCGAAAAAAGCAAGCTTTTTAATACAAAATATTTTAATATGGTATTTTGGTGGCTATAATACTTTGACAAAGTATTTTCATTATAAATAAATATTGAGATTTCATTACTATTATCATACATTTTATTTTCTCTTCTATCTTGATACAGAGCTTCATACAAAAAATCAAAATTATGTTAGATATTATGCATATATAGTTCTATTTCAGAAAAATATTCACTTGAAAAAAAAGATTTAGCCATTTAAGTCAAGACCCTTTGCAAAGGAAACAGAACTATTAATACTCATAAATGTTTTTTCATCTTCACACTAATATAACCTTGAAATCCTCTGAAAGTCCTGAAAGCTCTATTCTTTTTCTGTATAGGGACAAAATAATGAAAAAAGAATGAGAGGTTTGCATGAATTATAGAATTAGTGAAAAGCAAGAACCAAGATTTAGGAATATTTTAGTATCACTCTTGTGGTCAGATTCCTGGGCCGTGCTCCAAAAGAAGAGAAAAGCATCTTTAAGGACACCTGCATACTACTGAATAGTGCCATGTCCGTGACATTTAAATAAGAGTTGAGTATTGTTGTTTTGAAAAGATAACTAGAAGGCATAGAAAACAGAAAGGAAAATGTAAAAGGACTTGCATATTCATTATAAGAATATGTAACGACTTCTGTATGAGCGCTGTGGTGGACAAGAATTAGATAGATGAAACATTAACATGATGTGATTTCTTTCTCATATAAAATTTTCCAACCATGCTTGTTAGGCTAAGAATGCAGTATATAGAATAATAATTAATTCCTAGAATTATAGTAATATAGTCATTTAACATGACTAGTTGCTGAAAATTAAGGTGACAGGTTTCAACTTAGATAAATTTTTTCTTGAAATAATAATAATCACTATCAAAAAGACACCTAGCAAAAGTTTGCTCACTGCCTCTTAAATGAGAGCCACCTTTGCTCCCATGTTGCTTTTGTTCCTACTGTTGCCTATTTGTTGCATTTCCACTGAGTTGCTCAAAAACAAAATGGTTCCTACAGGAGGAGAAATCTTCAGTTTGTTAGAAAGATCTGCAAGTCTGATTTTGATTGTCGCTATGCATTTATGCAGTAAGTGTCTGTTAATTGGCTGTTGAAGAGAATGGTTTAATTCCTCAGTATTTCATTTGCAGGGCACCACTACTGAAACAGAAATAAGAAAAAGAAGACTGAGTTCTTATCAGATTTCCATGGAAATGCTGGAAGATTCTGCTGCAAGACAACGAGCAATGAGTATAGCCAGCATACTTACAAACACAATGGAAGGTATTTGATACATTTTCCTTATTTAAAGGAAACTGAGTACACTCATAATTTATATATACATGACAACCATCAAGGTCCACAGGTTTTAGGGAAGATTAGATAGTTGTGAGCTGTTTATTTAAATGATTTAATTTTTTAACATATTTTAAACGAGAGTTCACAGAGATTATAATTGAAATATTATTTGTTATTTTTTTATTTTCTTTTCCTTTTTTTTTCAGAGCTTGAGGAATCCAGACAGAAATGTCCCCCATGCTGGTATAGATTTGCAAATACTTTCTTGATCTGGGATTGCTGGAGTCCATGGTTAAAAGTAAAACACATTGTCAATTTAGTAGTGATGGATCCATTTGTTGATCTTGCTATAACTATCTGCATTGTTTTGAACACCTTGTTTATGGCCATGGAACATTACCCAATGACAGAACAATTTAGCAGTGTCCTTTCTGTGGGAAACCTGGTGAGTGCTTTATCGTGCAGTTTGATCTAAAAGTACTATTTTTTCTAAAAAAAGAAATGTGTAAAATGCACTGTACTAGCTTTAAATCTATTCTTTTTTTTTTTTTTTAATAATCCATTTAGAAACTGTATTTATTATTTTCCTAAACAAACAGTTTCCTGGAGCCTTTAACTTTCATGAATCTGGTAACTATTGAAATGAAATAACTAGATATGTTTGGAAATGTAGCCTTCACTTGTCAGATTTGATTTCTTGAGGTCTACCTTGGGGTTTTATCCTTAAAAGATTAAAGGAGATTATCTAGTTTTTACTACAATGTTGATATTCCCTCACAGAAAATATTTTTCTTGTGTGAGAAATTGATGAAACATTCAGAATGTCACTTTGAATTTTTTTCAGTTAAATCACAGTGAAAGTATGTTTCCAAGAAAGGCATATTTCTTCTTAGCAGTATATCTTTGCCACTTTATATGACTGAAAAAAAGTTTTACAAACAGAAAGATTATTATTTATTCCCTAATAAAAAGTACTTTTTATTTGTAAGTCTATTAGTGATGCCATTCCTGGTTTTCATCTGATCTGGAGATTCACAGTTACATTCAATTCTTCTGAGCAGATACCTAAATATGGCATCACACATAAGTATTTGCTTCTGAGGATCAGGAAACAGAGGAATGAACTTTGCAAGTGTTTGTGTTAGGGGAGGACTCATACATTTTTAAATTGTTGCCACCTCAAGTAACTACTGGTAGTTTACACAGGAGAATATGGATTGACTCCCCCAGCATGCAGTCCTGAAAAACCAAACCTACTGAGTTTTTTGCACTAATAGCACAAGAAGATTAGTTTTGAATATTCTGCTAATATTTGAATGGAGCAGTAATACATTTCTCAGTCACAGTACATTTTAAAGTCTAAACATTTTCCTTATATGTACTGCTAATATAAATATCTATGACTTTTTTTAAAAATACGTAACTAAAAATAAACATACTACCAAAAGATATTGGGTGAACTAAAGTTTTCTTGCTCCTGAACAAAGACTTAATTGCTAGCATATTCATATGTTCAATACAAACTATAGAATATTGTATTTTAATGTGTTGGTCTGACATACTAATGTTAGAACGATCTTCTCTCACCATTTACACTTTCAAGATCTTCAGGCTTTTCCCACCTCATACATTTTTTACTGAATGCTAACAACAATGATATTTTAACTATCTTTCCAACAATTCAGTATCCTTAATCAGGACTATATACAAGCAATGAATATTATTCCCACTGATTCCAATTAAGTTCTCTGTAGCTCACTGTACTAATCTATTAACCTTAGTTATGCAGTTTGCATACAAAATATGTTAATTTACTGTTCACTTGTGACATCATAGGCTGTTTGAGGATAAATTAAGCATAGCAAATATGAACAAGCCTTTGTGTAGTATTTAAATGAAAAGAAAGAAATAGTTATAATTATTCATTTTCATACTACTGAAATTCAATATGCAAGATTTGTAATTGTAAGAAAGCTTGAGTTTCATTCTGCTAAAAATGTACTACTTTTGTGTATTTGTGGATGCTGATATGCTCAAGAAATGTAGTTTGTGGATGGCACGGGTGTGGAGGAAATATTTTTAAATTAAATGCTTTAATTTTTTTTTTCAATTATTTTGACAAATATTATGACAGTTTTGTCAATAGTTATCTTTATTTTTACCTTTTTCTTTATATTTTAATATATTTTATTTCTTTATATTTTCTTTATACTTTCTTTATAGAAATATCTATTACATTCTTCTGAATATATAGTAACACCTTTCATATCTCAGTTTAATAATGTATTGTTCCTAGCTATGTTTTCAGTTTCTCAAAAGTATAAACTTTAAAAATTATTAGCATTTCCAGTTTGAAAATGGTGAATATTTCCACACCATTATATCCATCTCCTAATTTTCTTAAATTAAAAGCTGTTTATAATTGTCATGTTTATGTACACACAATGTATGTGAAATTAAGCTTTATTTCCATACAACTTGCTGGGAGGACTAAGAACAATCTGGATGAAGAACTATCAGAATGCAATTGCAGAGCACATCAGTTTATATCAGTAGACTTTTGGATCATGTGGGATAGCCTTTGAGTGTTGTGCACAATATTCTTATGTTTTTTGTGGCTTTTACATTATGCTCTAAAACTTCTTTATTATGCTGTACATAACACTGATCACTACTCACTGCAAAAATGTCATAGTGGGATTAATTCTGTACTTTCAATAAACAAGGAGCATTGATCATTTCACAATTGACACCTTCAGATATTTCAAGTAACATTTTCACCATATAATCCTTTTCAAGCAAGGAAATACCTATCACACAGAAAAATAGCTGTTCCTGAATGCTCTTTATCCTTACAAAAAGTCTAATGCAAGAAATTTCAGCTTCCATGCATACACTTTGAGCTAAAACAGACACATTTGGAAGCCCGACCCCAGAAAGTCCATCATAACACTTCCGTTGAGACTGTGGGAAAGAATAGAAATTACTGTCATTTTGTTTTATTTTCATGGGAGAATCCTCTAGAAGCAAGGCTAAAAACAGTAGATAATATCAGATCAAGTGCTGGATGGTGAAATCTTTTAGTTGGTGAACTGGATCTGAGCTGCTCGCTGGTAAATATATATTTTTTAGAAGCTTATCAATTCTGTGCCCTCCTATCTCTGTCTTGATTTAGTAATTTGCTTTTAATTTCAGTCTTCATTGTGCAGAGATACTTAGATGCTATTTGGAGATAACAGTCATCTGTTTTATGTAGTAACAGGTACAAATAACAGGAAACAGAAATTAATTAGAAATTAGAAAAATTTGCTCAGATATATATATGTGTGTCAAAATAACTCAACTAATTAATTTTGTTTTAGGTATTCACTGGGATATTCACAGCAGAAATGGTACTAAAGATAATTGCTATGGACCCTTATTATTATTTCCAAGAAGGCTGGAATATTTTTGATGGTATTATCGTTAGCCTTAGTTTAATGGAGCTTGGTCTCGCAAATGTTGAAGGATTATCAGTTCTTCGGTCATTCAGATTGGTAAATACCTTGATAATTATATATGTATATTATCTCTCTCTCTATATATATATGCAATTGTATCATTTCAGAATTGTCCTGATTTATGTAATAATTACCAGTAGTGTAAGGACATATTAGACACTCAAATGTCTCATATACTTTTTTCAATATAGTTAAGTTACAAGTTGTATTTGATATGTACAATTTCAGGTGTTGGTCAAATGTTATCTTTTCATATCAAATTGTTCTATTGAGATCCTATTGTACTGATATCCTTTGCAATCATAAGACTAACTGCTATCTTTTGAAAGTTTTGGAAGTTTTCATTATACTGATTTCATTAAGATTTAAGATTCGTCAAAGCTGAATATCTATAAGAACATATATATTGCCACTAGAATAAAGAATCATAACATTTTTAATCTTTTTATTTGAACATTATTTTGTGTTGTCTGTAAAATCCTTAAGTATGTCCTCTCTTCATAACAATTATTTTAATGTGCACTGACAATAAGCTGTTTTTAGGATAAGAATACTTAAATTGAAATACTTTTGAGCTTGTACCAAAAATAGCGTATTTACAGCAATGAGTATTCTAAACAAACTAATCTATAGGTAAATTTAATAGAGCACAAGTGTCATGATGTAAAAGTCTGTCTTATTAATATTTCTTACATTACCTGAAACTATGTTATTTCTGAATATATAGAGCAGACAGTAGTTTTGTAGTTTATTACCACCAGCTGCCATGGTACCCAACTTCATGTACCATTATTGACTGTAATTTTTAAGTTAGTAAGTATAATGTCCTGAAAGAACATCTCAAGATCAACATGAAATTGTCGCTTTAAAATTTCCCTTGAAGTAAGCCTATAAAACCCAATGTGGTGCTGAGAGAAACACGGGACTGAGCCAGCAAAGAAGAAGTTGCGAGAGTAAGGAGAAGAGTACCAACTTCTTTCTGAACTGCTTCTTTAGGAACTGAAGCAGTAATTATCTGTGAGTGGATGTTCAAAAATACTAAAACTAAATCTAGTATAAACACAAAATATGTTCTTTTTCTCTGCTGCTAAGATGAAATGCTGGACAGTACGGTTCAGGGAAATTGCAAACTCCATGCTCTCCTTTCCCATTAATATAATGTTATTTGTTGGGAAGAAAAAGATAGTTTACATAAACTCAGTTCTGCTAAACACCTTGGGCCTAGCTTCTCTGATCACATGTGACTAGAACACATCTGTACACAAGTTAGAATAAGCTGCCAATCACAAGAGATTTTGTAGGAAGATTTTTAGCCTTATTTATTTCTAGCACGTTTTTATAAGCAACAAGAATATTAATATTGAAATTTAATTGTTTAAAGTTGACTTCTGATATGTAAAATGGTATGTAAAATGAAGAATGTAATCTATATTTCGTTACAGTACAATATAGACACCACTAAGTAGAAGGCCTTCAAAAAAAACAAGATCTCTGGAAAAAGCTCAGGAATTAAAACTAGTGTATGTGTCAACTGTCTTAGTTGTTTGCTTTAAAATGTCAGGAACAGCAAGGAAAACAGCTGGCTTTCCTGTGTGGCATCTCAGATAAGTGAATCTGAGTTGATTAATAGATTTTGCTGAAGTCTCAGAGAAAATTTCTCAACACTAAGTAGTAATGCAAATATTGTCAAAGAAATTCAGATACTTAAACAGGAATAGACAGTCTATAGCACTTCATGCTGTAAAATTCTTTTTAGAAGATGCCATAAATATGTTACAGTGCAGGAAAATAATGAATTGCAGAAATTATCCATTTAGTATGTACTATATTATATCCTTCTCAAGGATTACACAACTATTAGAATATCCTAAAATGCAGTCTCTTAAAAAAGTTAAAATATTATGAACTTAAGATGTTGGGTTTTTTTTTGCTTCTTGAGTATATTTTGATCACACATCTTGCTCTTACTTTTCCTTTCTTACTAAGTTCTGAAACTTAAATTGTGAACTGTCTCCATAGGTTCTAAATTCACATAACACAAATTGACAACAGCCAAAGAGATTATAGAAAACTGACATCATAACAAATGGCATTTGCAAATCAGAACTCTTCATGAATAATGGCACAAGATACCTCTAGAATTATGGTTATAACTAATGGTTCCTCTGCATTTCTGTTTTTCAGCTTCGAGTTTTTAAACTGGCAAAATCTTGGCCAACTCTAAATATGCTGATTAAGATTATTGGCAACTCAGTGGGGGCTTTGGGCAATTTGACCCTGGTGCTGGCCATCATTGTGTTCATTTTTGCTGTGGTTGGGATGCAGCTGTTTGGGAAAAGCTACAAGGAATGTGTCTGCAAGATCTCCAGTGACTGTGTGCTTCCACGCTGGCACATGCATGACTTCTTCCACTCCTTCTTGATTGTATTCCGAGTGCTGTGTGGAGAATGGATAGAAACGATGTGGGACTGCATGGAGGTTGCAGGCCAAACCATGTGCCTTATTGTTTTCATGCTGGTCATGGTGATTGGAAATCTAGTGGTATGTGATGAACACTTTTAAATTGTGATGCAAAAATATATGCTATGTGCAGCTAGGCAAAAAGAATGTTTGTCATCCTTCTATTTGGAAGAAAAGATAACTGCTTGAGCTAGATTTTGGGTAACAAAAAAAATCATTCTCTTCTTTTTCACTTTCATTTCCATTCAGTGAAGTAATGTTAATGTGACTTTAGGAATGTAGGAATGTACCACAATGACCCACTGAGCACCCTACGAAGGAGTGATGGAGCTAATTCATAGACGTTATTTAAATCTAAATGTTATCAGAACTCATCTTGAAAATAAAGATTATGCTGCACTAGCTCATGGCCAGCATCTTGTTTGGAGATTTTTTTTTTAAAAAAGGACTTCCTTGCAGTCATTGCAGATAATTCTGACACTAACACTTCTGATTTAATTAAAATAAAGTATAATGTAGTATAGTAGCATATCTTGAATTTAAGTACTTTTTGCCTTGCTTAGGAGTAGAAAGAAACCTCTGATATTTTCAGAGTGATTGGTCTTGCCTCCTAAAAATGCATTTGAAATCTTCTTAGAAATCAGGACTATAATGGAAGGCACAATTCATGTTTACACTTTAAAATTTCTTTTAACGTTCACAGTAAATTCTGAAATGCCTAGAATTTATATTTCATTATCTGTCAAAATGCTCTTCCTTTAGTGACTGATTTTAATGATTTATTTTTATGACATAGAATTCACAATGTTTATGTCCTAGTTGTTCAGACAACTTTGCAATCTTGACATTAGATTTGCAGAAATGTGCAAACCTGAGAAAATTATTTTTGATTGGTAACCTACTCCTTGTTTTTTCAGCATTAACTTCTGGATATAAATACTGTTTCTGATTCATATTACCTCATCTTTCTTTCAAATATTTCCTTATTCAGATCTGTTGTTGTTTTTCCTGGAATTGTGAAGGTATGAAGAATTATATCTTGAATAGAGTTAAAATGAGAGGTCTAACACATTTAAATAAGGGGAAATTTATTTCAGATAGGATATGAGGTTTTTTTTGGTAGATCAGAGGGGTTTTTTTTGTATCTTGAAATTATATAAATATGATAGAGAACAAAGCATTTTTCTCAAATTCAGTTTTGGAAGGAAGTTGATGTAGGTTGTCATTTTGCACTGCCATAACAGTTTTTGATGCCTTGTGGCCTCCACCTCCACTTAATCCAAATATAGGGAAGACCACGTTGAAGTCTTTTACCAATCCATTCCTTTAATAATGTGTTGTCATATATAAAACTGAAGGTATGAAATGAATTTTTGCTTGTAGGCTTTAGGGAAATAATTGTAGTTTATTGGAGGTGACATTAAAATAACAATAACAATGTTTGAATTTTGAAGTAACAAACTACAGTTCTCAGGCAGTATTGGTGCTAGGATTGTTATCTGCTGATGGGGAAAGTCTGTTTTACTTTGAATTCCTATCAATAAGATCAAATAAATTTTTCTTCGTTGCCAAGTGAAAAATGAAAAAATCCAATTATAAATAATGTAATTATTAGTAACTGAGATTAAAGTAAAAATTTCATTTTAAAATATCCTTTCTATTCTTTTTATGACAAGCTTTATAGAACTTAAGATACAAGCCCAGAATTAACAGACTATTACAATTTTATGGTATAATCCTTCAAACACTATGTAGAAAATATAAGCAGGTTATTATAGCATTAACTGATGTAAGTTTCTAAAATATATGCACCATAGAAATCTATCTAATTTTATAGGACGATACTTTTAAAATTCTACTTAACTTCCAGGCGATTCCAATAAGAGATTTAGAAAGAAGCATTTCAGACCTGTGATGGATGTGTATAGCTACAGTTTTGTAATTTTTTTTTTTTCATTGTATACTTAAACAACCCTGCTACATCAAGAAAAAAGAAGTAAAATCAGGAAGTAAAAAATGTTTAGGTGTTAGCTTGTCTGTTTTCATCTTCTGGATATTGACCAAGACCAGCGAGGAAAGGTTTTGTAACGGGAAGTACTAATTGGTTGTCTAAAATTAGCAAGTGTGAATGTTCTTTAAAACAATCTGTGCTTTTTTATATTATCCTATAAAAATATGAACTTCTTATATGTGTGTTTTTATTATATAGCTGTATTCTCTCATCTTTTAGGTTCTGAACCTGTTTCTGGCCTTGCTTCTGAGCTCGTTTAGCTCAGACAATCTTGCTGCTACAGATGATGATAATGAAATGAACAATCTCCAGATCGCTGTGGCAAGAATTCAGAAGGGAATAGATTATATTAAAAAAAAGATACAGGAATTCATACAAAAAGCCTTCGTTAGAAAACAGAAAGCTTTAGAAGAAATCAAAGCACTTGAAGAGCTAAACAACAAGAAAGACAGCTGCATTTCCAATCATACTGCTGTTGAAATAAGCAAAGATATGAATTATCTTAAAGATGGGAATGGAACTACCAGTGGTGTAGGCACAGGCAGCAGTGTGGAAAAATATGTTGTTGATGAAAGTGATTACATGTCCTTCATAAACAACCCAGGCCTCACTGTGACAGTACCAATTGCTGTTGGAGAATCTGACTTTGAAAATTTAAATACAGAAGAATTTAGCAGTGAATCTGATATGGAAGAAAGCAAACAGGTAGGAGCTTTTGTGTCTTAACTATTACACTGTAGTCACACATTTACATATTTGTCTATTTCATACTTAGTGTTCTTCAAAATAGTGTCTCATCGTTTGTAAATATATTTTACTTTTTATTATTTTAAGTAAATACAATTCAAAGAAAAAAAATTCTGCTATGTGACAGTACACTGAGAATTGTTAGACTTTACATTTTTCATACTCTGTTTATTAGCATTCAGAAAATGTATCATATGATTATTCATTTTACAATTTTTTAATGAATTTTTAGGGCTAGCACACATTTCATAAAACATCCTTTGTGTATCTAAATGTGATTAGGATTTGTGGAATAAGATTCTTGTAGAAGGCTAATGTACAAGTATATAGTTTTGCATATCTAATCAAATATAAATTTAAAAGAAAATGTTTTTTTTTTTTTTTTTGTGGTTAGGGTAGTTTTAAAAATGAACCCTGAGGAATGATAAATAAATTATGCATTTTGAATTATCTAAATTTTTTTGTGAGTAATATTCATACTGATTTTGGGTTAAGAGAATATGTCTGCCTGAACTGAAGAAATTCAGACATAGATCATTGTTACAGTAAAGCAGTATCTCAAGTTGTCCTGGAGAGCACAGTGATGTAGTAGTATATATGCATATAGAAGCAATTTACATGAAAGTCTTATGCTGTTCTTACTGGGCAAAGAAACAGAAGTTGTTCTAAAATACAGAAACCAAATAGCTCACATACCAGCAAACATGGTGAGGTGATAAAAGTATTAATGGAAAAGTTAGTATACTGGAGTGATGAGCAATAACAAACTATTAAACGCATTGACTGGAAAAAAAAAAATGAAAAATTATTTTCGGTGCTTTTAGAAATATAGAAACTGTGAGGCTTAAGGGATCAGGAAGCTTGGATAATTACGTTTTCAATTGGATCAGTTGCTGTTATGTTGTTAGGTAGGTTACAAAAGGGTCTGTTTACTATAAACCAAGCTATTCTATAAAGAAATCCTGCATTCATGACTGTATCATAGTGGCAAAGCTGCTCTATTTTCAAATAATGCTGTATTCCACAGCAATACCAAACTATATCACATGTCTTTAGTGGATTGCCATGACCCAGTTAATTATACTATGCTTTTTTTCTTCAAGAAAATCGAGTAACATAAAGTGTGTGTGTTTATTTGCAAAAGTGAAGGTTACTCTGCATAAGAACTGTAAGATTAAAAGACAGATATTCCATCAAATTTCTCAGTTACAAGACAAATATTTTCAATACCAATTTACACTGTGGTGTAGCATGTAAATTGTCATAACAATTTCCAAATATAAGAGAATCAAGAAGTACAAATTATACAAATTATGAGCTCAACTAGTATCAAAAAACAAGCTTTCTCTGGGTCTAAGAGCTAAGTGTTTTTCATGTAAGCTGATCTACTGAAAGTGTTCTTTTTCAGTGAACCTTTAGCAGTGTCTTCTAAGTCTTCTGATATGTTCTGATTCTTTTTTCTTTAAAATCAATCTTCAATCTAAATGTTCAGTTTTCCTTGTGGTTAGTTTTGAGAAATACAGTGATGAGTGCCTTCCTAATAACTCTGCCTTACAAATATATATGCTTAAAAATTTTCTGAATATGTAATTTTTTCAAAACTTTTTATTATGCATTAGGAAGTTCAGAAGGCAATAAGCTGTGGTTATAGGACAAGCTAGACTCAGCAGCAGAGCTCAGAGGTTGCCATCCTCATCTGTCTCCAGATTCCCTAGCAGTCTTTACTACCTTCTCTGCCGCAGTGTATCTACAAGGCATGTCATTGAAGCAAGATAAATTAAACAGTTGTCCCATAGGTATTATTTCATAGTTTCTTCTTTAAGATAGATTAAATGGATCAGTTTAACAGTGCAAGACCGTTTTATCAGAATAGCTGAGGAGAAAACTAATTGCAACATTAATGCAGAAATTCCTCTGCTTTCAAAGTGAAGGGTGTAAATATACCCCAAGAAAATGAATTAAAGTAGCAATTTTAAGGTATTTTCACAAGTCAGTTGCTCTGTTCATTCCCATTTCTACTTGTTTCAGGCATCATACTTTTCTCTTTTTCTAAGGTTACTCTGAACTTTCAGTACTATGCTAAATCAAAAGTGATTTTGCCTTTTAAAATGAACTTTAAAAGTACCATTATGTCTGCAGGAAGAGAAATAAAATCCAAATGTCTGTAAAAACAATATGAAAGTGAAAATTACCAGTGCCTGTGGAAAATCAACCAGTAAATGATGAAGTATATACATATTAAGAAGTTGTGGATAAATTTTCAACGGGGATAAGATAAATTTAGGGCATCAGTAGAGCCTTGCGATTTCCATGGAGTGTCATGGTCAGTACCATTGCAAAGCTGGAGCAATAGTGCTTCCCTCAAGTTCTGCTCACAGAGAACTGTTTAGCATGTCACATATATCTGTACAGCGAACGAGTACATCTTGTGAATGCTAGCTAATAAATAGTGCTCTGAAAAATGTGAATTTTGAAGTGATATTCATTTCTGTTCTGTATTCTTTATCCCAGTTTCTGGGTGATTTTTAGAGAAAAGATTAAGTACTTCTATTTTATTGTGTTCATAAAAATGCACCTGCTTTGGTAATATGTTGTTCTGGTGTGTGACAGGAGTTTATCAGAATTCCTAATCTTGACTGCCAAGTCAACAGTACTGTCTCCTGCTGCCCTCTGATTTCCTTTTAAGGGAAATTATGAACATTTTGGTTCAGTATTTGTTACCTCTCTAGAAAAGTACACCATCATTTGCTTTATCTCACTTCTCAAGGGGTATCACTGAGACAACATTCCTGACTGGAGAAGGGCTGGTGTGCAAAAGGAGGGTAAGAGATGGGGCTGAAATCCCCTGCCTTAACAGTGGCAGTACTTAACGCTTAAAATTCCCTCAGGAGATATGCCCTTTAATAACTGGTTTATTCATTTATTTATATTTTTAGCAATGGAGTTCTGGGAAGCTTGAACTGCACAAGAACTGTAAAGAGAACTTTTTCTTTTTTTTAATTTTCTTGACTGCTGCTGATATTAAGAGCAGAATGATTATTTTATGCTTGTCACCCGTAAGGCGTCATGATAGAAGCAGGGGTTGGGAAGATGCCCATGATAAAATGTCACAGAATATATGACTGTGGGTTTGTGAGAAATTAATACTATTTTTTTCTTATTTTTATTATCTGTTATATTGTGTTACAAAATAACTCTAGCCACTATCACTTTTGGAAGGTTGATTCCTCTGTTTTTATTACTGTTTGTAAAAACACCTGCTAATTAATTTACCAGTTAATAAATAAGTAACTTCCCAAATTTTCCAGAAGGTATTCTGGAACCTGGTTGTAAGTTCCAGGTCTAAATAAGATCTTTCTCATAGATATCACTAGAAATTTAGGGACGCCTGTTTGGATGTAATGCTAGGTTAAAAAAAAAAAAAAGACTGTACTCAGGAGAATTTGACTGCAAGGTCATATTCTGTTCATCAGGATACCTGGCCAGAAATCAAAGCCACACAATTCTACTATTGCCAATTCCCAAATAAGATGGTATTTTATTCATTATTTGGAGAAAAAACTTTTTCCCAGGCTTCAGGGAACTTCAAACTTATTTTCACTGTACTTATTTTGTCATCAAGATGTACTTGAGATAGGATTTGTTTAAGAACTCAAACTGTATCACAAGAGTCAGGTTGAAGGGTTCAGGATAAGCAGTGGAGTGATCTAAGCAAAAAACAGATAATGCCTTCAAGATTTTTGATCTTTTTCACATTGAACCTAATTCTGTGTTAAAGTCTCTCCAAATCTACTTTGGCTTTCAAATTACATTTGATTTCTCCCAAGGCACATCTTAACCTATGCATCTAGCTTTTATGTCTGCAGCTTCAGAAAAGGCTTTTTCCTTGCTTATTTTGTAATGACTTGACATCATATACTTGAGGTTACCCAAGTAGCTGTTTGACATGGTGAAAGCTCAAGTTTTTCTATTGTCTCAACACCTGACACATAAACCTGTAGTCTTAACTGAATATTATACTTAACGTCATTTAAGTTAATGAAAAGTGTCTTTGTTTTTACATATACTATGAATAAAGAATATTTCTTTTGTAGCTTCTTGTTTGCATGTGATTACCTTACATAGATCCTAAAACACTCTAAAATCAGAGCAAGTAAGTTAAGATTTCCTGAAAAACTATACAATCAATTATAAGTGGATAATGAAAAACTAAATATGCACAACTTGAGATTTGGATGAGAAAGAGGATCCATTGTAAAGACATTAAAATTTACCACCTGTTTTAGGATAACAGTTGCCTGAAAGTAATTGAAAGAAGATCTGATAGGAGGATTTTATCAGTACCTACTACAAGAAAACAGAGGTGCAGTAGCCAGTGAGATAAAATAACAAATTTCTGTGCTGAAAATAAGATATTCAAGATAATTAACTTAAAAAGCAATGACTTTAAAAGTAACCAAAAAAAAAAAAAAAAAAAAAAAGAGAGAAGTAACCGAAGGGGATAATTTTGTGTTTTTTAAAGTTAACTTGTGGATGATGTTTCTATTACAAAATATACTTGCTAATCAGTGATGTAAATGGAATATGTTAATCTTACCAGAAATCAGACTGCTAACTATTTGTGTTTTTGTACTACTTAATAACTGCACATTACCTCTAAATCACAACTTTCTTAATAAAGTTTTGGATTTCAACATAGAAAAGTAATTTCAAATATGTTCTTCAGCTGTGTAAAACTGGTTTCACTAGTAAAGAAATATCTGCAAGCATTTATCATGCAGAATTCCAGAAGTCTTTATATCTAAAGTACATTTACAGCAAGTGTAAATTTGGATTGAGAAGTAAGGCTGCTCAATCAACTTCTGAAGTCACAGCACATGGTTTTAATAAAAGAGAAGATATCTTTCAACATCTAACCTACTGAGCTTTCAAACCCAGGAATAAGTTCAGTTGTCTGA